GTCGGCCTGTTAATTTTTGTCTTCCTTGCTTGTACTCTAATGGATATTCCAGGTGCATCTCTTCGGTGTCTCCAGTAAGAATTTGTTTCAGCAGTGGCCTGGTTTCTTTCACAAACTTTCAGATGCTGCAGGGCTTTTCCCCTTAATTGAGGGGGTGTAAAATTCCTCACCTGAAGTACAGTTTAATGCAGTTTTGATACGGCTTTCGAAAAAAACACTTAAGGTTGCTCGTACCTTCTGAAGCAGTGAACTGGATGCTCGTGTCTGGAAGACGTAGGTAGTCTTTGACCTACCTTCCTTGTTTCCCGAGCGGGGTGAATTAAGAAGTAATGGGTTTAAAAGCAAACATTTTATCCAGAGGGTAGTTGGCGTAGACCTGCAATTCCCAGTCAAGCTGTGTTTTGGAAGCTTGCTTGTTGCTCTCTTCCCTGTAGTTTCCAGCGCGCGGACATGCCGAGTTCCTTGGCTTCCCATCTCCTGCTACAGGAAAGCCTCTGGCTGCCTTAGGGGAAGTGGTTGGATGATAATTTCCCCCCTTTGTATGCACCGCTCTCCTAGGGCCAGCACTAGTGTGGCTTGAAAGCTGCTCAGGTTCCCTCCCCTCTCCCTTCCCCCTCCAGAGGGAAAAGGGATCTGGCCGTGGGACTCCTACAGGGCTTGCCACCCTCTGAGCAGAAGGGAGTTCGGCGCTGTCTGATGGCGCCGAGCTCTCCCTGAAGCGCTTGGGGTGTTATTCAGGTGGTTTGGGGTGAGCTCCAGGGGGGGTTTGCGGGAGCTGCGGTGCCTCCCGGCTCAGGCTGGTTTCTGGAGGGAAGGGTTGCTAGCTGAAGGACGCGTTGAAGAGGAAGGATTTCACTGAATTCTCGCAGAGCGTGCACCGATCAAGTGGGGCAAGCCGCTACGACAAGAAGCAGCAAATGCTTTGTAACAGATTAGCTGTTCTCTGTGTCTAGGGTGTGCGAGCAGAGCTGTGGGATAGGTAGGTTTCTTGCTGCTAATTTGGGAAAAGAGAAGTTAAGACTTCTGAAACAATTTTTCCATGGAGTTACGACATCCCCACTTAGGTCAGCTGCGGTTTCTTGTGACGAAACGTGATCCCTGTGTAGCTGTGCTAATCAGCGCGAAAAGGAAAGGTTTGCTTTTCCTTTTACAGTGAGAAACATCCCGGTAATGCTCTGACTTTCATATTTTTTGAACCCAGTAAGATACAGTGTCATATTTCATGATTTTTGGGCTCTTTTCTAGCTCCCCATCTGGTCCCTGCCTGTGATCCCAGAGGCCGGGTGCTTCTCCTGCGGAGTCCGTAAGAACGTCAATGTAACACTGTCCACTCTCACTCCTCATCTTAATTTCTAACGCAAAGCATCGGTTTTCTGTAGGTTGGAGCAGTGTTTCAGTAGCATTTAAATTCCTACTCTTCCCCCCTCCACACTAAAGGTACTTGACTGAAGGGTTAAGCCACACTGTTAAGTGTAAACACCATGCATCAGGGTAAATGAAGCTGCATGATAGCAGGGAACAAAGGGTGCAGATTAAAAGCTGTTTACCGAGTAGGTCCAGTATGGTTCTCTCTTTGCAAACCCTTTACAGCCACTCCAGTGAGTTGGAAAAAGGAGAACAGCAGCTTGCCTGGTGCGTACATCTGCAAATGTTTAGAGAAGCTTCAAGCGTCAAAGAGCAGCAGTGAGACCTGGAGATGTTGAAGCTAGGGCTGGAAAGTAAGAGTAAAATGCAAATGATCGTGGACCTTGTTTGGGGTGGGGGGTAAGATAAGAGTTAAAAGCAAAGGTACAAAGTGAGAGAGGCCCCTGAAAAAGCCTTATGCTGTGTGGGAGGACGTAGTACAGGTATCTCAGAATAGACCAGGGCAGCGTTAATGCTTTTTTTTTTTTTTCCTGAGCAATTGAGATGAGACGGTGCCTGACGTTGGCCATCTCGTCGGCAAGCAGCTGCCACCCCAGCAGGAGCTCCCAGCAAATGATTACGGAGCTGGAGGGCAGACGTTTTTAAATGACTGTTTAATGAGGTGCCTTGTCTGGATGGCTCTTGCAGGAGCAGAGAGCGAGTCTGGGAGAGGACCTGGAACGTCAGGAAAAACTCCTTTAGGAATAACGTCCCAGAGGAGGTGACTTACTGCTTGGCGGTGCCCCTGTAGCTGTGACTGCCATTAGCGTGTGCTGTAGGAGCCAGTGCTGGGTTGTATGTGGGTAAGAAGAGAGGTTTAGAGGATGTGGGTCGCTATTTCCTACCTCTCCTAGTCCCGTAGAAGTAATAGGGTGAGTAACCAGCCCCCTTTCCTCTGGGAGCGTGGATTGCTGCTCTTTTAAGCTGCCACTGAAGCGTGTGTGGGTTGGAAGTGAGAAGGGAAGGAGTTAACTAAATATGGTTTGAATTAGTGTTGTATAACCAACTTGGCTGTGTTGTCATGGCATAATTGTATCTGATACTGTTTTGTCAGTCAAATGACAGGTAGTACAAGTTCAGCATTGCCTGCTGCAGCAGCAGGTTATTTTAAGATAATCTAAGGAGGAAATGACAGCACATATGAGGACGAGAAATAAAAACCAGAGAGGTTATGTTGAAAAGTCTCTTCTGAATTCCCGCTGTCGGGAATCTGGGCTGAACGCCACTGTTTTGGGACACGGAAGCTTTCAAATCGCAGCGCCTTAATATGGGGAATGTGGAGGATGGCTGTGAAAAGAAAAATGAGGTTTTGCGTTCCTCCCAGGGTGGAAGTGCTGAGTCTATAGAGCGTTGATGTTTTCATATCTGACCACAAATGCTGCCGTGCTGAGTGCCCGAGAAGCCGTAGCAGAAGCACACAGATATCCCCAAGCCCTTCTTGATGCCATCTCTGTTAAAACCCGTGCCAGCCAGAGGAGAGGCGCAGACATCTTGGCAGCTGGGAGAAGAGGCGATAACAAAAGAAAACCCGCCTGCTGAAGGGAAGGATGTTTCCTGCAAGTTGCTGGTTTTAGATGGAGTCTCGCTGTAGCTGGCTGTGGGCTGCAGCGGGGAGCCCTGCCGGCATAGCGTGCTTCAGGCCCCGGGATTTGCTTGGGTGGAAGGTGTTAACTCCAACATCTGAGCAGATTTTGGGGGATTCTGCTTAAAACGTGCTTCCTTTTTTTTCATCCCTGTTAATGCTTCTTGAACGGCTTTGAAGGTGGAATCTAGTTTATGTTGCCTGCTCTACTTGAGGCCGAACCAGCAATAGCTTTCCTTTTAAGCCTTGAGGGAAGGAAGAAAAAAAAAAAAAAAATTGAATTGCCTTATGCTTAGGAATAATTTAAAAGCTGAAATTCTTTGGTTTGCAGACATTTAACTTGGCAGCCTGGAAGTATTTTGTCATGAGAGCCTCTAATCTCCTAACCCTTCAACCTAAACTAATGGCTAATTGATTTAAATTGCACTACATGCCCTATTTGGAAACAGTTTTCCTACTGTGCGGGGCAGCTGTTAGTGTTACAGTCCCTTGAGGGGGATGTGGAGACAGATAAACTCAAGGCGGTATCTGAGCAATCAGCATTTAAAGGTGTCAGTGCTCTTAGATGTGTATCCGGGCCGCGGCACCCCCAGGAGCTGTGCAGGAGAGGCACTGGGTACTCGTTCGTTGAACGCCGGTGTGTTTCTCTTGTTGCCTCTCTCTTCTCTTGTGCAGAACGGGTCCAAAGAAAGAGAAATCCTTGTCCAGCCACCCCACGATGGAGGTACAACCCCATGACACCTGCAAATGGGTATAACGAGTTAAGGAACCGTTTGACTTGAGTTTCCTCTCACTTGGCAGTCTGAGAACCTGCCATGAAAGTGCTTGTCCTACTGTGAAAGCTCTTACTGTGTGAAGAGGCTGATTTGCATCTGCTCTCTTCAGCCACCAAGAACTGCAAAAATATTTGGCCGCTTGTTTTGTTTGAAGCTGTCTAAGTGCAAATAGGAAATGCACCTTCGGCTTGAAAATGACCTTGTCTGTTGTTGGGGAAACTTTCTGTTGTAATTCAATACAGCAGTGGATCCTCAGGAGTCCTCGTCAACATCTGGGAACTGACTGGGATGAACTTGGGAGTGGAAATCCAAGTGCAAGGCTGTAAAGGCTGCGTTGCCCTCCTTCGGTCCTGATTGCCGCCTGCTCTGGGCTCAGGTTGGCACGACGTGTTCACCACTGGTGAATGAGCTGCTTGTATCTGGCTGTTGCCTGACTGTTCAGAAAGCAGCAGTTGTGTTTGCTCCTTCCCAGCCACCGCTGTACCCTGCGCCTAAACGTTCCTGCCATACTTTTAATTCCCCTATCAGCCAAAAGGGTTTTACTAGTGATATTGGGAAGAATCTGAAGGAATGCAAAATAAGCAGGCTAAAAGGTGTACGGAATTCCAAGCAAGGGAATCGTCTGTGCCTATCGCAAAATCAAACCCTACAAAGCGACCTCTTATTTTCAGGGGTTTGATTTCTCGGTTCAGCTGCCCAATTGACCTGAAGTTGTGAGATCAAGAAGAGAATTCTGCTTTTTTAAAAAGCGCTGCTGCTTTCGCACCCTGTTCGTGGTGCTGTTGCTAGGAGCTGGCCTTCCTGAGGCTTCAAGGATGCGAGAATGAAACTGGAATGCAGTGTTGTCCTCTCTGGATGGTGTGAGAGGCTTGGGAAGCTCTCTCCTGGAAGCTGTGCTTCCCGAAGGTAGCATCAGAAAGCTTTTCTGCTTTTTTCCTGGAGAAGTATGCCACAGCCCAGTTTTCACAGCTTGACGTTCCTGAAAGCTGGTCTTTCCCCCCCGCCCCCGTCGGTCTGATAATCTAAAAATGATTTTTCTCTTCCGACAAAGCTCGCCTTGCTTGTAGCAATGCCGTTCTGGGTTAGCACACTGCCGCGTTGCGTAGACTCTGCAGGCTGGGACATCTGGTGCCTTGATGCTAGAAGTGAAGGGGAGCTTGGGTCTCTTAGTCCATCCAGGATCTCTTGAGTCATATATCCAAACCCAGGCAGGCTCAACTTCATTCCTTTGCCTTCAGCAACCCCGGTTCTGCAGCTCAGAGTGAGCCTTTTCGGCTGAGGAGCCCTGAAGCCAGGGGATGGTCCGGCTGGTTTGCCCTGAACGAGCAACCTGGTGTTGCGGTCACACGAGGTAGAGTAATCCGGGACCTGTGCTTCTGCTGACGTACAGTAATGCCGTGCCTGCCTTTCACATGCTTCATGGCCGGGACAGGCAGGCATGCAGGCAGCGCAGCTCAGCTCCTGCTGACTGCAGAGCTCCAGTAAACTGCGGTAACGTGATGGGCTTTGAGACCCGGAGTAGGCGTCTGCTGCACCGAGCTGTGCAAGCGTGTCTGCTGCTGCACGGGTGTGCAAAGGTGGTTTCTGCCTTGTGCCTGTGGGAGGGGGATGCGGTTTGTGAGTACCCTGCGGTTCAAGAGGAAAAAGCTGTGAAAAACAGATTAACTAGCTGTTATTTTGCAGGCAGACAGGGATAACTCAGCCCCCCCAGCTCTGCAGAGGTTTGGGAAGCCAGGGTTTTCTGTCTGTCTTTGGAGGAAGGCTGTTTGCAATGCAGGCATGTCCAAGTGCCACAGCCCGCAGGCCTGATATTTTGACTAGAAATCATCCTGTGGCAAAGGCTCATTTCCAAGCTAAACCTGCGGGTCTCTTTATCCTCAGTTTCCCGGAATAATAATCCCTGTATTGTGGGAAATGATAGAGAATAGAGCTTGTTAATCAATTAAAATTTGCCTTGCGTGTTCTGTGGGTGGATGCGTACGGGTGTGCCCCGGTGAAGATCCCCGAGCTGTCAGGTGGCTGTGGGAACCGGCGTTGGCAGCTGAAGGGTTAGAGCAGGGACCCAGGTCCCTGATCTTCCTGCTGGTGATTCACAGGCACCTTAGCTGCCGCTTCAAGTCTAGGCAGGTATCTTCTTCGAATTTTGCCGGAGCTGTTTAAGAGGTATCTAGCTCAGGAGTGATACCGGTGTGCTTACCACTATGCTGTAGTAATGGATTGTGGGAGCGCACCTAGTCTTTCCACTGTGGAAAAAACGTGTTAGTTCGAATGATCATGGGCAACGTTTGGCTGACTTTGTGCTAAGTGGAGAAGGGAACTTGCAAGGTCCGTTACGGTGTTCCTGCTCTGACATAGGAACGTGTTTCTGGGCTTTAATGTCTTAAGCTGCTTCACCTGGATCTGCAAGAGCAATTTGTGCATGCTTTTGAGCTCTGTTCTGGGTCTACTTCCCTTCCACTGTATAATCACACAAGATTGCTTCCGAATTAGATGTTCCTTGTAAAAATGCTCCGGGATCTGTGATTGCATCCACCTGGTTATTGAAGGCTAATGCTTCTGTCTTGCACGGCTCGGTAACGGTGGGTAGCAGCTGATGACGTCGATGCACTTAGCTGTAGGGTTAGTTGAACTGTAGTTACTGAGCTGGAAGAGAGGAATGGTAGATAGTCTGTTAGATAAGTCCTCGTCCCAGTTTTTCAGAACCAGCCTCCCAGGTGGCTAGCCTCAGTGATCAAGAAGTGTACTCTGGAAATTCAGAAATTCTAAGTTTGTTTTGTGGTTTTTGTTTTGTTTTGTTTTAGCAGATGAATGCATAACGAGTGTCAGCATCTGTAAATAAAGCCCGGGAATGACGTACCTGTGGATGTGCTCTTCAGCGATCCCCCCCCCAAGGGGCCGGGACAGCTGCTCTGGAGCTTTGTTACCAGCAGCAATGCCCAAGGAGTATCTTGCTCCAGACCCCATCAACTTCTGTGTGGGAACTGGGAAGAGTACGTTCCGCTTTCCCTTTTAAGTTCACGTGGTTGCTAACTGGAATTCTTTTTGTGCTTTTTCAGGTGCTGGAGAGTCTGGGAAAAGCACCATTGTGAAGCAGATGAAGTAAGTGAGAGTGCAGGCATGTCAACCGCATTTTTGTGCGAGATGCAATAAGAAATCTGTGGTGCCCTTCTGGTTTGGGAATGACAGCTTTGTGTTCTTCCAGGATTATTCATGAGGATGGCTACTCGGAGGAAGAATGCAAACAATATAAAGTGGTTGTCTACAGCAATACTATCCAGTCCATCATTGCAATCATAAGAGCCATGGGAAGGCTAAAGATAGACTTTGGGGAAGTTGCCAGAGCAGTAAGTATTTCACTTCCCTTAGTCTGAGTCTGTGCTGTGAATTCTGTTAATGAATCCCGGAAATTCAGTCCATTGCACTCACAGTGGAAATATGTTTTGTTACAAGATACAACAGTGAAAGACCTTTCATAATCTGCAATGTGTTACCAGTACAAAGCGTCAAGTGTTTTACTGAGGTTATGGGTAAGAACCTCTAGTAGTTTGAATGCTCAGAAAAATAAATAATCCCATAACCTTTGTCTGGAAGGTAGAAATTGATGTCGGGAAGTCTTGACCCCCGTGGTGGTGGGGAAAGCACAGACCGAATGGGGAGCCAGGGACTCCTGAAAATGTGTAGGAGAAAGGAATTGTGTATATCAGCACAGGGCAGTGGCTGCACAACCTGTGACTCTTGCTGCCTGGCACTAATTCCTCATGCTTACAGTTAATATACGGTAAGTGAAGTAACCTACTCTGTTTCTTTGTGAGGCAACCACAGATATTTTGAACTTAAGATATAAAGCACCCTGGCTGAAGGGCACATCTTCACTTGCATGTTAACCTAGGCTGTTGTTCAGCTGCTGCTCCAAATTCTCCCTGGCGTTCCCTTCTACCTTTCCTCTGTGCTTGTCGAAGCCGAGCGGTGATCTCAGCCTAGGTAATGCAGCTGGAAGGAGGAAGATGTTAAAATCCAAGTTCCTTTCTCAGTTGACCTGCTCAGGCTTAGCTGGCTTCACAAAAGCAGAACGAGAGCCGAGTGCCAAGAACTTTCTCGTGTCCCAATCCACCCTGAAGGGCAAACAACTTGCCACGCTTGCCTAGGAAAAGACCACGGGTAACCAAATCGACTGTCTCGCAGCAAACCACAGCAGTGACCCGTCAGCATAGCACCATACCCGTAAGTGCTGTACCTGCGAAGACGCATAACCGAGGTCCACCTCTGTGTTGTGGCGGTTCAGACCCTGATTAAGTTAATTTAGGTGCCCGTTGCTTGTTCTAGGGAGGTACCCTTTGGAGTAGCGTATGGACTTGACTCTCGCCTGAGCTTAGGTTTAGGGCTCAAGTGAGAGGAGCCGATGTTAGGAGGAGACAGTCTGAAGTTGAGAACTTGCTGGGACACTGAAAGGTCCCTTACGTCTCCCGAAAGGAAGCCGGCAGGTCTGATCGCTGTAGAAATAAACATCGGTGTGGGATGTAGGTCAGCCTGATTTCACTTTCTAAATCTGCTTGTTAACTTGTAGAAGAGTGAGGTCCTGCGCTAAGACTTCTGAGAAGAATTTGTCACGCTCTAGGGCAATCACTCAAATCCTGATCAGTCCATCCCATCTCCTGATGAAATGCTTTATTAAGAAATTGGTCTCCCTTACTTCTGACAGCTATTGCAGCAAATTGCAAGTCCTCAAAGCTTTAAACCTAGAATCATCCTAAAACCTGCTTTTGATACTGAATTTTCCCTTGTTGCCATACTGTACCACACTATAATAAAGGTTTTCCAGTTTAAAAACTATTATTTATCGTTCATTAGTCTATAGTAGCACATTGACGTTCTTACCTTTCCTTTGAAACGCTGCGCCAGGTTACTGAAACTTCACGTTCCGGATGTGAACGCTGCCTGTCGCTTTGGAGCGGTGATCCCTGCAGCGGTGGCACGACAGAAGCGTTGTTTGCCACCCGTGATCAGCGCGTCTCGCCCCACGGGCTGGAGCTTCTTGCCCAGAATTTGCCTTTCTGACTGCAGGAGAAAAATAACTTGGCGATTTGGGGGAGAAGACCGGATAGACAGCATGAGAGCGGGGACCGTGATTCCTTAGAGCAGTTGCTGCAGCCCCTAGGATTGTTACTGATGTTAAGCCTCGCTGTCATTTGTAAAGGCATAAATGGGTGTAGATCCTAACTTGTTTTCATTTCCCCTCTTCCTGCAGGACGATGCCCGTCAGTTGTTTGTATTAGCTGGAAGCGCAGAGGAAGGCGTGATGACCGCCGAGCTAGCTGGCGTGATTAAGCGGTTGTGGAGAGATGCTGGGGTTCAGGCCTGCTTCAGCAGATCGAGAGAATATCAGCTTAACGACTCTGCATCATAGTAAGAAACCGTTAGCAGCTTCTGGGCCCTTCACAGCAAACCAAACGGTGTTCAAGAAGGGCCGGCGTGACTGAAAGCGGGCTGGTAGTTGGGCCCCCTTCCGAGGGGGCGGGCAGGAACCCTAGTCTAACTGGTTTACACGGGGTTGGGCTCACAAGGTGACTTTGGTGCGTTAAGCTCATCAAAGTCAGTTTTACTGTTTGTCTTCCCCATGTGTAGCATCGGAAAAAAACCCGCATTCCTTGTTTTGTGCCTAGGTGAATTTGCCAGTCTGGTTTTAGTGGAAGAATAACTTACCGGCTTGCGTTAAGATGGCTTGTTGCAGCGGGTGATCAGCTATGTCACCTTCGTTATCCCTGCAGAAAGGAGTAACACCTCCTGAAACCGAGCTCCCGATGAAACTGCCAAATTTGTGATGAGCAGCAATTTCCAATAGTGGGATCTCCTGATACTGGCAGATCAATGTTCACGTAGTTGTTCTCCTTAGCAGCTCTCGCTACACTTCTGTTCCTGTGCCTGACACCGCACGGGCAGCGCTGCAGGCTAGCTATAAACCTGCTTATCCTTCTGTTTCTGAAATGCACGCGATTGCTTAACAGTCGGAAAGCTGCGACTAGATACGTAGCGTGGAGCGCTGTAGGCGGCTGCTGGCTGGTTAACGAGAGTTTTGACTAGATGCCTCTTCTATTTCAAAGTTAGTGCAGGGAGGGGGAAACGATTTCGTTTAATGAGCAAAACAGTTGTTGCCTTCTTTTTTTTTCCCCTTTTTAAAAAGTCGTGTGCTTGGTCTCTCTAGCACAAATATTTGAAACTCTGAAAGGATGATTTGGGGGTTAAGTGTGCCTCCTGATGTCCAGCTGAAAACTTGTCTCAATTTAGCCAAGTTCTAAGCCTTCGAAAAATTAGTTTGGAAGTGCTTTATAGAGAAGCTTCCGATGTGTCACAGCTCGGTTGCCTGCAGGCTCTGTCTGCGCACAGCGTATTTTAGCTCGAAAATAAGGAAGAATTTCTCTAAATTTGTAACACCTTGGCAGGCTATCATGGGCTTAGATCAAGGTAAGTGAGTTGACAAGAGGCGGCTTTCTCAGATTCGTGTGTGCCTTTACGGCATGCAAGGAGGAAACTTCAGATTCAAAGGGAGAACAGAAGGATAGATGAGGAGGGGGATGAATGAGGGAATAACTTAATGAAAAGATGCGGAGAAGAGAAGGAAAGCTTAAGGACTTCTTGAGCAGAGGATCTAGGGCAGAAAGTGTAAGTGGTTGAGTGGAGCTTAAGGAGGAAGCTGAAGATGGGGAACCTTGGCTTTGTGGTCTTGATGGTCAGCTTTGAAAGAGCAGGAGAATGAAGGCAGGCTGGAGAAAACAGGGTAGAAACGGGTCAGAAACAGCAGACTGGGGAGAGAGGGCGTAAGCCTGCTTAGAGGTGCCCAGCTGTGATCTGACTGCCTTCCAGAGACTGGATTTTCACAGAATCATAGAATAGTTTGGGTTGGAGGGAACCTCTAAAGGTCATCTAGTCCAACCCCCCGGCCGTGGGCAGGGACATCTTCAACTGGATCAGGTTGCTCAGAGCCCCGTCCAGCCTGACCTGGAATGTTTCCAGGGATGGGGCACCCACCACCTCTCTGGGCAACCTGGGCCAGTGCTTCACCACCCTCAGCGTAAAAAATTCTTCCTTATATCTAGTCTAAATCTCCCCCCCTTTAGTTTAAAGCCATTCCCCCTTGTCCTGCCGCAACAGGCCCTGCTGAAAAGTCTGCCGCCATCTTTTTTTATAAGCCCCCTTTAAGTACTGACAGGAGGGTTATTCCTGTTCCCGAATATCTGCAACCCCCTCGTGTCCAGTTTCTGGTGCTGGTACGTGTAGGCACAGCTCCTCTGACGAATTGCTCTCGTGGGCGGTGTCAGATCTGCGCGGCAGAGAGATTTCAGCCCGAGGATGACCCACGTGGCGTTTTTCCGATAAGCGCATCAGAGAATTTTAGCTTCCTGTCCTAAGACCGCAGGAAGTTGCACTAAAGCAGCGTTATTCTGCCTCGGTAGCCAAGCAGCTCAGCAGTTAGGAAACGCTGCGGGTGGGTTCCTTTAGCGCAGAGCACGAGCACGCAGTTAAAAACGTGTTTTCTCCTGCAGGACCCCCGTCTCGCCAGCGTGCAGAACGAGCTGGCCAGATGAGCGTTCAGTCAGCATTTTTCCTCTCCGCTCGACGCGTGGCTCCTGACCCGCCTTATCTTCTGGTGTGACCCAATTAGTTCCCTTGGCCACGCTTAAAGGATGGGTGTCTTGCAATCCCTTTTTGTGGTGGTGGTCACGTAGGTACTCGCTTTTGTGCGCAGTTCTCTTGGGGGAATTTCACTTCCCCGCTCCTTTCAATATCTCCTGCAAATGGGACTGAAACTTCAGGGTTAGTAGCCTTTAAATACGTGCCCCATTTCAGATGACTGGCTTTCCAGCTGAAATTCAGTGTTGCATTGTGTTTCAAGCCCGGTTCTGGCTGCCCGGGTGCTGTTCCTCGCTTCACATCAGACCTCGGGGCCTCTGCTGAGACACCCAGAATGGAGCGGGGAGGGGGGGGAAGAGGAACATACGAGTGATTGCTCGTGCAAATTAGGTGGCATCGAGAACAAGAGCGCTGTGGCAGAGAGCCAAGGGTTTTCAGGGCAGCACCGAAATGTTCCGCACTTCCCCTTGCGCGGGCAGGGATCCTTCCCATCGGAGAGCTGCCCCGGCAGGCGGGAGGCCGTGTGGGAGGAGAGGAGGCAACCATAATAACGGTGTGTGTCGTAATCCGTGCGCCACGGGTGGGGGTGAGCTCCCAAAGATAACCGCCTGTGATGCTCGTCCGAATGATCTGTCCTGGAATCATAGCAGTTTGCAATTTTTCTTATTTTTTTGAAGAACAGTCGAGTAACTCTCGGTCTAAACTGTGGATGTTCAAGCGCTGGTGTAAACGCTCGGTGTCTTCTCCACGTACCACCTGATAACGTCCCTCTGGCAACTGCCCTGCTCTTTTGGTGTGATATTTCAAACACCTATATTTTTACTTGCCTCGCTGCAACTCCCCGTTTTTCTTTACCTATGACGTGAGCAAATGGCTCTGTCGCTCACCGCTCCCGTCTCGAGTCAATGCCGCGGAGAAGCGTTTCAGACCCGTGTGCGCAATTCTTGCTGTAATAGCTACAAAGAACAAAAACCTGTCTGGTGGTGCAGCAGTGTGGATGCTAAGGCTTATTGCTGTCTTGCACGTCTTCAGGTACCTCCGTCTGGTACTTGGAAATGTCGGCAAGCAGGTAACGCTTGAAAATATTTTAGTTGCTGGTTTCGCTACTTCTTCCGAAGTTCACGCAGACACCAGACTGCGGATACTGTAGGTAATTATCTGCGGTCTCTCAGGCAATTAGCATAGTTTCTGATCAACCGTTCTCTATTCTGGCATAGCTTGGTTTGTTCCCAAGTGGCAGTTTTGGCCTGAATTCCCTGACATGATGCTGGATATAACCTAGATTATCTCTACGTGGTTTTTTTTTCCTCCTCTTTGCTTTCAAGCCCTAGCTTGCAGGGCATTGTCCTGCCGTCTGTATCCTGATGCTTTCTTGCGATTCCCCTCGAGTAGCACTGCCTTGGGACCGCAGCTCAAGCTTTGGAAGCGAGCCTTTTCATCTGTGGGCCTGTGCTGCAGACTGTGGGTCTGTCTTAGCTGGCCCAAATGAGCGTTCGAGTTGATAAAGGTAATGCACAAGGTTCCCTTTTCCTGGAGATCCCGCTCTGTTACCTGGTTTTCTGCTTTGCTTAATCTGCCAAAATCCAGCTGAACACGGGGGGGAAAGAGGAGGCAGGCTTCGGTGAAAGAAATGTATTTCTTAAATATAGGTTTCACCAGGTCTTCACCTGTTTTCTTCTTGCTGCAGGAAGACTTGGCTAGAGACGACTAATTCTGTATGAGCTGTCAAGCTATGTAGGAAGGACACTGTTTGCATTTTCAGACTGGCGCAGGTGCTTGTGATAATGTTTCTTGAAAGCTTGGTGTTTGGTGGCTGCAAATACCGACCCACCTGGGTACCAAACCTGCATCTTTCTGCCCTCTTGTCTCCTCTCCCTGGCAAAGGATGGCTTTTGTTTGCTGCTCTGCCTTCGGGCGCGATGGTGACAGCCCCTCCTTCCCTCCCTCCCGTAGCTCGGGCTGCGGATAGCCTTTCATAATAAATGCTTTGTATGACTCTTTCGGAGCTTTTGGAGCCATTTTTGGCCTTGAAAGCATTCTTTCCAGCGTTAAAGGGAAACATGACTGAATTGTTAGGAAAATACCATTCCAGGGTTCATGTGAGCGTGTGGAGGAGGGGAACTGTGTTATCTTCACCAGCTGAAAGCTGTCCACTTCAGAACACCCCGCTGCCGCGGTCGGTGTTTCTTAGAGCAGTGTGAGATGGGACGACACTGAAGCTGGCAGGTTTTCTGATCGGACTGGAACTACAGATCCTTGCCCACGCAGGTGCTGAACCCGTGCCAGCCTGGCACAGGATGTCCTGGGAAGGCTTGGAGGGCCGCTAGGACCAATGTGAGTTACGCTGTAGGCTTTTGGTCAGCTTTTTTTTTTTTTTGTACTCGAGCCCTCATTTTTAAGGGTGAAAAGAGAAGGGAAACAAACCAAAACTGTCTTTTTGCAAGCTTGTATTTGCAAGGTGGTGTTGAAGCATGAGAAACAGTTGGCTCTGTAAACACAAGGATCCGAGGTGGGGAACAAGTGTTGCAACCTCAGCGTATGAAGGGAGCCTGGTGGCGAAGGAGACTGTGAAAGGGGATTCAAACTGCGTGGGATGTAGAAAGATTCAGTAAAGTATATGTTTTCGGTTCCCGAAACAATATTTGTGAGGAACATCTTTAAACAAGATGTTTAAAGCTGTGGGTTATGAGTCGCTCGAAACCCATGAGTCTCAGACCGTGCTTTTTCCAGTTTTTTTTTTCCAAGTTCTGCTAAATCTGTATGTGGTAGAGGGAAACAAGTGGCAGTCTGCACAAGCTGGGCACCCAACAGCCTGGTTTTGTTGGGTGGGCACGGCTCTGCCCGCGAAGTCACCTGCCTTCGGCAAGGCGAGGACGGCTGGAGGAGGCTGTGTGCAGATGCGCTTGGGCGGCTCTTCTGCTACCGAGAAATCCCCTGTGCTGGATCTTCTGACCGCTTAGGTATTTCCATGGGATCTGGTATTTATTTGCCCTTTGAGTCTCTCTGGAATTAGTCTGGCAAAGCTTATTTTTTTTTTTTAAGGCAGCTTGCAGATAGAGCACTGCTTAATCTGATACACCTTGCTCCCCTGATAGACGTGCAGTTCATTTGGTGGGAGTTGCCTGACTCCATTCACTCCTCACTGGCTGCCTAAAAAGCCTTAAGCAGGAATTATACCAGTTTCACTGCCCAAACTTCTGGTGCTGAAAGCTGGCAATTAGGAGCAGATGCTTTAGAGCTTCAGCTTGCACATTTATCACTTCAGTGATGCAGGGCAGCTGTGTGACCTGTATCGAAGCCAAGCTGTTAGGAGTTGCTGGGTCAGTTCTTAGGTAGCACTTCCATCAGCTTTTGAACCACCGTGTCCCAGCTAAACTCATACTGGCGGGGAAGAGAGGGGGGATAAAAAATCTGGGCATGTTATTTCCTCAGCAGAAATATTTCTTAACAGAAGCCTAATGAAGGTAAGTACCTTCCAAATTCTGTTTTACTAAGCGGAAACTAAAGCCAATCCCAAGTGTGAGTTTTGGGTGCTGCGTTTCTGGTCAAAGAGCAGTTTACAAACCTGTCATCCCACTGAACATGAGAGAGGAATGAGAGGAGCTGGCCCTTTCTGGGCGAAAACCGCTTGCAGATACCAGCTCTTTGAGAAAAGCCCCGCGGCGCCGGGCGAGCACGGGCAGGAGGTTGGCAGGTAGGCTGGATTCTTCTGGGCTTCGGAAAATAGGTCAGTGCTCGGCAAATATGCCGGCAGTCCTGGCGAGAGGAGATGCTGAAGGTGACGGAGGAGGGAGATGTCGCTCAGTACGTCGCCTGCTTGGTGACGAAGGCGCGTGGAAATTTGGAGCTCCTGGCACAGCTTTCAGGCGCACGGGAAGGAGCGGTCCCTGGCTGACAACGGATCTGTGGTAATGCTTGGCTGGGAGGGCAGGGTTTATTACACCGGCGTAGAGCCGTTGTGCCACTAAAATCTCAACAGTTGCACGGTACTGTATTGGTTAAAAACCGCTCCTGATAAAGACAGGGGTGTAGCTGTCGGGGATAACGCTGCTGGCAGCTGCACACGAAGGTGGCTGAACGCTTGCCTCCGGTTCCTTCCCAACGGAGCTGGGGCAATCCTTGTCTCCGTTGCGGAAGCAGGAGGCCGTCGCCTTCCCCTTAACAGGAAAAATGAGCTCAGAGGTGTCGCTGGCTGGAGCGGGACTTCTGACGCTGCTGGAAATGATGTATACCTCTTCCTTACGTGCCTGAGAGCCAAACTTCAAAGGGAATCTGCTGTAGTTGGAAACAGTTTGGGTCTCGATGGGCGCGTTGCCGCAGAGAAACGGCCTCCTCCGACGGCCGTGCCGTTGGGGAGCTGGATGCGTTGTGCGTTAGTTTGCTCTTGCTGAAGGAGGTGAATGAATCTGCCTGTTTTGGGGGTAGTTCTTGATGCTTAATTCTTTCCTCCTGGTTCATTTGATGTATCCTTGCCCTTTAAAAGCGAGCCACTGGATTTATTGCCTTGTGCTTTGATGCGAAAGACCTTGATTACTTTGAGTTGCCCCAAGAGATACCAGTCTTGGCATGGCTTCTGCATCAGCAGTACTTCTTGTGCTAGCTTCTTATCAGGCTTCACTCCCCAGCTAGCTGAGCCCTACCCAGCACATGCTGCAAGGTCGTATGGGGAGGGGTTAAAAAGGAAAAAAAAAACCAACAAAATCAACCCTGGGGTAGACCCAAGAGGATTTGTTTGCTGCATGGTCGAGGTCTGTACTATGTGAAGATGATGAATAAATTCCGTGATGACTTTCTCCTGCAGTTTATAAAAGATTCATGGCGAGCAAGCAGACTAAAAAAGGCGTTGTGTTGTCTCTTCTGGTTTAGTTACCTAAATGACTTGGATAGAATATCCCAGCCGACCTATATTCCGACTCAGCAGGATGTTCTGCGGACCAGAGTTAAAACTACAGGCATCGTGGAAACTCACTTCACCTTCAAGGACCTGTACTTCAAGTAAGTGAAGGGCAGCGCTCGTCCCTGTGGACCGCGGTGATTTCTTCAGTGCGTGGTGGTGGTAGGTCCCACACCTGCGCTGCAAAACATCTTGCCCTGTTTTAACAGTCCTCCTTTGCCTCTGTTACACTCCCTCTCTACTGGCATTGCTCACTGGAGATACCGGTTTGACTTTTATTTGCCTTCTTCTGTTCTTTTCAGCTGCTTTTATGTTGGAATCGCAGACACAGGTACTGCTGCCTGCTTACAGGATCCAAAAAAACCCCCCAAAACCAACCCCCAAAATACTAAAAGGACACTGACTCCTGGATTTTGAGTTTGAATTTAACCCCTTCCTTTGAAGCGGGAGATGAGCGCCCTCCCCGCAGTCGGTCTTGGCTCTGGGCTGCATGGTGTTCTCCGCAAAGCTGTAGGTGACTGTGCTGACTGACACTTTCTGCGGAGCAGGAACGGGGCGTGCAGAAAGCGTGCTGGGGACTGGCTGCCTTTGCGCGACACTGCAGAGGATGGGACTCGCCTGTCCTCTCTGCCTTCTAAATTCAGTCCCTGCAGGGCTTGGGTATCGAGCCTGGTCTTGGCAGTGTCCCTTTACGTATCACTAATCGAGCTCCCTCTAACCTCCGTAGCGGCTGCTAGCCTGCGGTTCAG